GGGGCTGCCCCGCGACCGGGCCGTTCCCCCGTCCCCGACGCCTCCTCCCTGCCTGGTGCTGCCGGGCATGGGGAGAGGAAAAGAGAGTTTTAGCTCATTCAGAGAGGCAGATTTTTTTTTTTTCCCTGGCTATACGGGAGAGATAATTCATGCTGGACGTTTTCCGTGCTTATTTTTAATTAATCCCTGTCCACGAGATAGATAAGATTAGGAGAATTAACCCATAAAATCCAAGTATCTGTATAAATAGCCTGTTTTCGTAGGTAAACGATGACGCTTGCTACTGTGGAAATTCAGCAATTATGTCATGTTGCATCTTCTACAATTACTTTGGCGAGTTCTTAATTTAAACTAGATGCAATGTGAAAGCTGGACCGACAGTTTCATCTTGTGAATTGCAGATCCAGGCACCACAGTCAGTAAAACGGAGTTGGCGTTCCTCAGACCTTGAAAAAACTTGGTAGCCCTTGGAAAGTTGCACGGAGCTCTATGCCACCAAAATACAAAGTAACTTTCTGTTAAATTTGTTTTGTCAAAGTGAGCTCCCCCTGAGGGGTTGGAGAGACTCGATGGACAGGCAGACGGGAGGCCTGGGTTGCTTTTCTTAACTCTGCTCCAGGCTCGTTGGAGCCACCTAACTTTCCTGACTCTCTTGCCACATTACCTACAACTGACTGCTTTTATGTGGTGTTAAACACTTTGGGTGCACCCAGCTGGGGGGATCCGCGCGTGCTTCCCAGCTCCCCGGCCCGGCTGCGCGTTGGAGCGCAGCACCGTGTCCTGACGGTGTCTTGGTTTGAGACCTGTCTGTGTGCCCTCTATCACGCTGCATGCTCTGGTTGGGAAGAAGCCACGGTGTGTCTGTCCGGCAGCCATCCTGCTGTGGGTGCCCAGGGGACCTGCCCAGCAGCCTGCGTCCCGCAGCACCCACCTCACAGGTTATAGATGCAGTCCTTGGTAGCGGTAAATCACCGAGCTGTAAGGAGAAAACAAGCTGGAGCCACAGTTTCTTGTTGCTTCCACCCTCGACTTCTCTAGATTTT